TATTTGTTGACTTACACATAGTCTGTCTCATTTGCTAGAATGTACATCCCAGGAGAACAGGGACATGTATTTTTTACCGTTGCACTAATGCTTAGCACGGCACCTGCACAGGGTATAGGCAAAGTATACTTATACACAGTAAATGTGTGTTTGAAAATCAAATGAAGGAATGAAGCAATCCACTGACACCGTTCTCCATCTCGAACCCCCTGCTAGTCTTCATCATAATCAGTAGAGGGCAGCAAAGACCCTAAGTTATCTAATTTCTGGGGTTTCCTCCAGAAACTTTTGAAAACTTATTCCCCTTTGCCAAATAGCAGCGTCGTGTTTATCAGGAATTTCAGGGCAATGTCTTGCCTTAAAATTTCTTTCTTCTCCTTATTCCTGAAGCCTTCTCCTCTCTGAGTCATTTACAGGTTTTTTGTTTTGTTTGTTTGTTTAAGATTCCAGGGACAATGCTCCTTAGGAGATGATAGCAGATGTTGTATTGACTAAGCCAAAAAGAAACCCAATGGCCTGGAGCCTGTACCTCCCTGCCAGACAAGTTAGTGTGGAAAAAAAGATGCCTCTGTCATCACCGACAGCTGTTTGGGACATAAGGATTTACGGCTCTCCCTTATGGTGTTTGGGGAGGAGCAGGTACCAGCTAGGCAGCTGTTGTTTATGTTTTGAGCATTTGTAAGAGCAAGTTGTGCGTGTGTTTCTAGTTCTGTCTTCTGCTTGGATCTGTTTCTGCTTATTCCATCTTCCCTTTTCTTTTTAACAATCCCCCACCCAGGGCAGGAACCTCGGCATCTCCTGCCTTTGCGGGCTCCTTCACCAAGAATGCACCCTGAATCCAGGTAATCAGCAGTAGAATCAGCATCCACAGAATCCCAGGATGGTGTTTTCATTTGATCTCTGCCCTACAAATATTTACTGAGCCCTGTGACTTACCAAGCCTGGGTGTGTGCTCTCTGGGTACAGATGCTCCATTTGATTGAAAGAACAGTTACCAGAATCAAAAGGGAGGCAGAGTTTCTCAACCTTAGTGCTATTGACACTTTGGATGAGATAATTCTTTGTTGTGAGAACATTCTAGGATTTTAGCAACATCCATGGCCTCTCCCCATTAGATACAGGTAGTACTCATCCCCTAAGTTGTGATGACCAAAAATGTTTTCAGACATTGCAAAATGTCCCCGAGGGGCAAATTCCCACTCCCCAATCTTTTTTGTTTTTTTAATTGTATTTATTTATTTAATTTTGGCTGCGTTGGGTCTTCATTGCTGCACGCGGGCTTTTCTCTAGTTGCAGCGAGCGGGGGCTACTCTTCGTTGAGGTGTGCGGGCTTCTCATTGCGGTGGCTTCTCTTGTTGCGGAGCACGGGCCCTAGGCTTGCAGGCTTCAGTAGTTGTGGCGCACGGGCTCAGTAGTTGTGGCTTGCAGGCTCAGGAGTTGTGGCGCACAGGCTTCAGTAGTTGTGGCGAGCAGGCTCAGTAGTTGTGGCACACGGGCTTAGTTGCTCTGCAGCATGTGGGATCTTCCCGGACCGAGGCTTGAACCCATGTCCCTTGCATTGGCAGGCGGATTCTTAACCACTGCACCACCAGGGAAGTCCCTACCCCTCAATCTTGAAAGCCATTCTTTTAAGGATCATGGTGAAAATCTTTTGGGGTGTCTTTCCAGCCTGAGTCAATGACCCCTTTTTCTCCTAGTTCTGCTCCTCACTATCCCATGCTTGTGTGTTGTGACCTGAAGCCTATGGACCGGGCAGATTGGACATCTGACCCAACTTAGGTCTCTCAGCTTCTTTCCTTTGGGAATTTGAAACTAGGACCCAGGGACTGAGTACCAGCTGGGTTCTTCAGGGGGACAAAACTTAAACGCAAATTTAGAAGATGTGGGCGGATGTATGATAATGTGGGGAACATGAAGCAGAGATATACTACTGCAGAGATAAGAATGAAATAAACTACGGGGATGGGGAATAAATTAGGAGGTAGGGATTAACATATACACACTACTATATATAAAATAGATAACCAACAAGGACCTACTGTATACAGGGAACTATACTCAATATTTTGTAATAACCTAAAATGGAAAAGAACCTGAAAAAGAATAGTAATAAAATAGTAACTAAATCATTGTGCTGTACACCTGAAACTAACACAACGCTGTAAATCAACTATACTTCAAAAAAAAAAATGCAATAAACTACGGAGAAACACAGAGGAAGAGGCAGACAGAAGTCACCTCAGTGACTGGTTCCTTTCTGGTTCCAGTACTTCCTGCCTTGGGTAGGAAAGACACTGATAACTAATTCCTCTTTTGTGCTAGGAGAGTTTTTGTTTGCTTTTTTCTGAGTCCTAACTGGTACATTCTCTCTAGCCTGGAAGTGAAATCATAACCAGAAAACATCAGGGATCTAGGCAGTTTAGGGAACTGTTTCTAACCCTCAGGGCAGTTCCACCCACCTCTGCAGATGCACGCCATTCTCCTTTCTCTACCAAATGGCTTCCTCACCCTCTCTATAGAATTTTTCTTGTCATAACCTTAGCTTGTACATGGCCTGGTGTGTCATGGCCTCAGCTCAACTTCTGGTTTGCTGTCCATTCACTAACAGCAAACCCAGGCTGGGTTTCTTGGCTCAGATTTCTGAGCAAGAGAGTCTGATTGGCTCATGTGGCAAAACACTATTGGCTGCCCATCCCACAATCATCCCTCCCAATCAGTTTTGTTCAGGTGAACAACCCAAGGTGATGAACCAGAATTGGTTTGTTAAGGGCAATGAGACGTAAAAGGAATCTTCTTGGGAGGCTTATGGAAAGAATTTTATCCTTGATACAAGAAGGCAAAGCCCAAGGAGGAGCTAGTCCATCCCCTTCCTGCCTACTTTGGATATGTCATGTGAGGACATGATATATGAAGCCATGGCAGCCATTTTGCAACCATGAAGTAAAGCCAAGAGACTTAGAGAGGAACTGGCAGAATCGGGCTACAAAGCCTTGAGCTGACAAATTAACCAACCCCAGAGCCATGTACCTTTAACCTTCTTGTTACATGAGCTAATTAGGTATCCTTACAGTTTAAGCTACTTTGACTCCAGTATCCTGTTACATGAAGCCAAAAGGATCCTGACCGATACAGTATAGCTCATCTTTTCAGGCCAGGTCACTCAGGTTCCAGGTCACTAGCAGGCTATCCTGTCGCACACCTACCTCCAATCCATGTGTTTATTCCCCTGCCCCAAAATTTTATTATGAAAATTTTTACACCTACAGAAAAGTTGAGGAAATAATACAGTGAACACTGAAATACCCCTCACCTAGATTGTTAACATATGCAGCTAAATGCTGTATATGTTCATTGTATAATATTCCCATATATATGAGGTTATTTTTTTTCACTGAACCATTTGAAAGTAAGAGAGTTTATGAAGCTTCACCCCAAAGTACTTCAGCATTTATCTCCTAAGAAACAAGAACATTTTCCTATATAACCAAACAGTCATTATAGTAGATTTAATACTGATTATTCTCTAATGTAAAAATCTTACTAAATTCTTCAGTTTTCTCAGTCATGTCCTTTAGAGCATTTTTTCTTTGGTTTGTTTGGTCCAGTCTCCTTTATTCTAAAACAGCTCTTCTGCTTTTTTTTTTTTTTGGTCTTTCCTGTCACTTTCAGGCCAGTTGTTTTTATCTGGTTGTTTCTTCAGAATTAGATTTCGTTAAAGATTTCTAGCAAAAACTCTACAGAGGTGATGTTGGGTCCTTCTTAGCACATCACAAGAGGCACAGGGAGCCACTGTGTCCTATTATTGGTCGTGCTAAGTTTAATCAGTTGATTAAGATGCTATCTGCTAGAATGCTCCATTATAAAGAGTTTGAAAAGATGTCTTTACAATTAATAAGTAATCTGTGGGATAGGACTTTGAGAATATCTTGTTCCCCAACAACTTTCACCCAAAGTTTTAGCAGCCATTAGTAAACCTTGCCTGAATCAACTATGTGATTACAAAGATCACATTTTTTTGATTTTATCATTTCCTCTCTACATTTATTAGGTGGCATTCTACTGCTTAAGGAAAAGAGCTTTCTCTTCCCTCACACTCACTTTTTAATTTTCTTGAGTATTATTATGAACTCAGATCTTTCATTACCACTCATTTTCTTTTCGATTTTCAATTTGTCCCAAATTTGGCCCCTTCAAGGTGGGAGCCCCTTCCAGCTGGTCTCTGTGCTTCAGACATAACCCCATCATTGTTTGAGCACTTCTTTGCTCTCTAGCAGAGGAAAGCCCAAACTCATTTTGTACTTTCCTTTGATTCAGACCTAGAATCAGCCATTTCCCCAAGATAACTTGATTACTTTTAGTGAGAAGTAGTTCATAGAAAGCAAAAACTGGGTGGTAAGAGTGCTCATTGCTATCAGGATGTCATTGTGTCTAGGTCCTTTCAGTGGACAGAGCCAGGAAGTATGTTTGATTTTAAATCATAGATTTATCTTGATCCCCCAACTCCAGTCCAACACCACAGGATTCTTCCTCTTTCCCTCCCAGTGCATATTTTTTATCTCTTTTCTCCCACAGTGAAAACCTGGTTTTCAATCCAACATCAATATATTTACTCATTTGCTCCTCCTCACAATACACCCAATAGTATCAGAATTACTGTATCAGTACCACTACCAAGAACAAATCTACTAATAAAGTTCCAGATTGTTTGCAGTGCTTTTTTTTTAATCCCTAGAATATAGCCCACTAAACGTAAAAAGATCTGTTAAAAAAACTTTTAACCTCGAAATAGGTTCATTTGTTTCTCTTTATACTCAGTGTTAGAGTTTTCCTTTCCTTGTTGACTTAATTTTTTTCTTTGTGATAGTGGGCTTCTTAATTTTTTTCCAGTTTTATTGAGATATAACTGCTATATAAGATTTGTAAGTTTAAGGTATACAACATAATGATTTGGCACATGTATATATTGATACAATTACCAAAGTTTAGTTAACATCCATGACAAAAATATGGAATGCTTCACAAATTTGCATGTCATCCTTGTTCAGGGGCCATGCTAATCTTCTCTGTATCATTTCAATTTAGTATACATGCTGCCAAAGCAAGAGCTAATTTAATTTTTTGAATATGTAAAACAGTAGCATAGTTAAAAAGTCAAAACTATATAAAATGTAACTCAGAGTAGTTTTCTTCAATCCCTGCGTGTAAGTTTCTGGTTTATCCTTTCTTAATTGCAAAAATAAGCAAATAATATATATGTATATGTGCATGCATATACATATATCCTCATTTTTGCCTTTTTTATTCAAATAGTAGTATACCGCATATACTCTTTTGCACGTTATTGTTTTCACTTCATATTGTTTTATGTTATACAAATGCAAGTGTTTTATAGCACTGGTGTTTCACTTATTTGCTCTCTCAAATGTATTTGGTATTTAGGAAGGTTTTATTTTTATTTTAATGGTTACTTTTATAATAAAACTAAAATACACTCCATCCCCCCATCTTATTTTTGTTATTTTTCTATTGGTTCCTCAACAATATTAAAATTAATTAATAATTTCTTCTATCCTCTCTTATCCCTATCCAGCAGTATCTCATTTGAATAAATATCCTTTTATCCTCATCAGCAACAAGTATATTCTATATTTCATCCCTCTTACCATTCTTCCCTTTTAATTATTATATAATATCTACTTTGCCTGGTCATGTACTCTTCTTATAACCATCGTAGTTTTATAGGTAAATACATATTTTATGCTTACCATCAGTCCTTATGCCAATGTCTTTCCATTTTGGTTGTCTAAAAAACCTTTCTTCAGTAAATTCATGGGAGCAGTAGTCTCTGGTTCTTTCATGTTCATCATTTGTGGCATGTTGACTAGATATAAAATCGTTGGCTCATGTTTTCTTTCCTTGAATATCTTCAATATGTTACTCTCTTTATTTCTTTATTTGGCTGCATCAGGTCTTAGTTGCGGCACGTAGGATCTTCGTTGCAGCGTGCGGGATCTTTTGTTGTGGCGTGCAGGCTCCAGAGCACAGGGGCTCTCTAGTTGTGGTGCATGGGCTCTAGAGCACGTGGGCTCAGTAGTTGCAGCACGCGGGCTTAGTTCCCCTGTGGAATGTGGTATCTTAGTCCCCCGACCAGGGATCGAACCCGCATCCCCTGCATTGGAAGGCGGATTCTTAACCACTGGACCACCAGGGAAGTCCCTGTTTCTCTACTTCTTCTGGAATAAAGTTCAAAGACAATCATTTCTTTCCCATTTAGGTGACTTGATATTTTGACTAGATGCCCAAAAGAGTTTTTTCTTTTCTTGTAAAGTCCAGAAGTTTTCTGAGTATATACCTTGACATTGGTCATTCTGGATTGATTTTCCTAGGTACTAGTGTCAAATCTTTTTTTACTTCAGGAAAACTTTTCTCAAATGTTTGCTTTTTAAATTTAAATTATTTTAAAATTCCCTCTGCTTTTTTTTTGTGGGTCTTCTATTATAGTTTGTTCATTTGTTTACCTTTCCACATCTACCACTTTCTCACAGATCTCTTTGATTTGTTGGAATTCCCTCCTTTTCACCTATTGTTATCTGATATATTTATTCACTCTTCTGTTTTTTTCTATTTTAGTCTCCATCTCTCAAATGATTAATATTAATTCTGAGTTCTCCTACATCATTTCTGAGCTTCTCTAATTCTGATTTATATAGTCCTTTCCTCTCTGATATTATTTTATTCGTTTTTTATCTCATTTTGAAATAATAAATTTTTCATCTGTTTTATAAGCATGTCTTTCTGATATGTTTTCACTATTAGAATGTTATTCTGCCCTTTCTTTTTCTTTTATTTTTTAAAATTGGTTTATTTATATTTGGCTGTGTTGGGTCTTCGTTGCTGCGCGCAGGCTTTCTCTAGATGCGGCAAGCAGGGGCTACTCTTGGTTGCAGTGCATGGGCTTCTCATTGCAGTGGCTTCTCTTGTTGCAGAACATGGGCTCAAGGTGCACAGGCTTCAGTAGTTGTGGTATGCAGGCTCAGTAGTTGTGGCTCACGGGCTCTAGAGCGCAGGCTCAGTAGTTGTGGCGCACGGGCTTAGTTGCTCTGCGGCATGTGGGATCTTCCTGGACCAGGACTTGAACCCATGTCCCCTGCATTGGCAGACGGATTCTTAACCACTGCGCCACCAGGGAAGTCCTCTTTTTTTCTTATAATGACTTAGTGTTGGATTTTTTTCCAGCTTTATTGAGATATAATTAATATATAACATTGTGTAAGTTTAAGATGTACAATGTAATAATGTGATACATACATTGCAAAATGATCACCACAATATGGTTAGTTAACACATCTAACTTAGTGCTGGATTTGAACACAATCTTATTCTATTGTTCATTTTTATATGGATTTACTTTTTATTTTATGAAGGAAGGGTGAATCAGGATAACTTTTCTGGCTTCATTACTTTAGATTCCCTTCTTCTGGTGTCCTTACCAAGAACTTTTTAATGGCCTGTACTTTCTGAGGTGTAGTTCCTCTGCTGTTTTATCTAGACTTTCTTTTTCCTTTGCTTCTATTACCCCATCCTTCTTCATTTGGATTCTACTCTCAGAAGTATTCTTTTGGTGTGAGACTTTCTTCTGAAAAGGAGCTTTGTAATTTGAAGTTCACAGAGCCAAAAACCACACCAGCTCCTTTAGGCCTTATCTTGGACCCCACACACCCACATCTTTACTGAAGTGTAGAAAACCCCCTCCCAGTTTTAGTAGTTGTTCTCAAATTGGTCTACCCCGCTTTTCAGTGAGTACTATTGCCAGTTTTAGAGTTCTGTTCTCAGGTCTATCAGATACCTCATGGCTCCCTCCTGCGCAGACACTGATACCATGGGGTTCTTGAGCTATTGGTAGTTTTCCTCCACCTGCTCATATTTTGAGGTTCATGAGAATATCTTGTCCATCTAGAATAAAAATTTGAAAAAACAAATGTCAATCAAGGAGGAACTGGCTTAAAAATTTAGTGATATCATTGTAGTTTTTAGTAAGGTGAAGTCAATGTTGAATTTTATATAACAATATGGAAAGCAGTATATAATATGTTAAGTCAGAGAAGAAGCTTACAAAGTTTTTATAGTATGATAGCATTTATATATTTTTTAAAACATTAAAAATATATGTGTGTGTACGTTACTGTAAAAGTTGCCTAGAAAAAGAAACACCCAACTTTTTATATGGTAATTTATTCAGGTACTAGTGGGGGTTAGCTATTTCCACTTTATACATATGGGTTGCACAGATAAGTAGTGTTGAATTCTTTTTTGTTGTTGTTGTTTTTGCGGTACGCGAGCCTCTCACTGTTGTGGTCTCTTCCGTTGCGGAGCACAGGCTCCGGACGCGCAGGCTCAGCTGCCATGGCTCACGGGCCTAGCCGCTCCGCGGCATGTGGGATCTTCCCGGACCGGGGCACAAACCCCTGTCCCCTGCATCGGCAGGCGGACTCTCAACCACTGCGCCACCAGGGAAGCCCTGAATTCTTTTACTGAGCTCAGGATTACCCTCAGATCTGGTCAAGAGGGGCTTCTACCTTGGACCTCATGTATTAGAGAGTCTGAAAATTGCAAACACACAATGAAAAGGTAAGCTTATTAAAGAACCTATGAGACTGGGTACCCACTGCTGACACAGAGCAGCCATCACCCTAAACATCCACACTGATGACTAACACCATTCAGGCCGCAGGAAATGCTTCTCCACAGCTCTTGCCCTCTGTCCTGAAAGCAAAAGGTGACTTGATTCAAATGTCAAGAAGAATCATTGGTTGTCTTGCTGCCAGCATTGTGGAAGGACATTGCTTAGGAGTGTAAGGAGAATTTGAGCTGTGGAAGCATTTAGGTAAGAGAAAAGACAAATTAATTCACTTGTCAAATCCTTCCTTTCAGATGTCATGAATGCTATAGATTCTTGCATAATAAAGTATCATTTCCCAGGAGTGCTGAGCATCTACTTTCTTCCTTTCTTCGAGTTCCAGTTTCTAGACCTGTGTGCACTCGCGAATTACTGCAGTATTTGCAATAGGTACACGAGGCAGCCAGAGAACATTTTGCAATATTAAACGATATTATCCTTAACTCATTTTTATGCATACCCTAGATATAACATGTTTGAGGCATGAAGCATAATACCACTTTTTGGCATTAGCAACTGATGGCTATTGAATGCAAGAATTGCAAATAATTTTGTTTATGAGAATATTTTATAAGATATAATTACATTTTAAAACTAAAGTAAAAACTAAGCTTTATTTGAATTTTTGTTTAAATTTTAATGATCATTAATCATTATTTTTATTTTGTTTTTTAATTTTAGTAGATTATTTTGGATATTTTAGAAAAAAAGTGACTTTCTGAGGAGAGGAGGTCCCTCTCCTCAGGGATCCCTATTCTGTGAGACACAGCAAATAAGAAAAATAATTTTAATTTTTCAATATTTTAACATTTACTTTAATTATATTTTTGCTGACACATATTCAATTTTGGAATCTTTTGAATATGATTACATTTTATCTTTTAATTCTACAGATCACTGAGAATGAGAACAAGTTGAGATTGGGGTAGAACCACAAAATATGAAAGTGGGGCTCAGGATACTAAGGACTGAAAAGATATAAGTAAAATACATTCAAAGAGGTGGTCTGCTTCAATTTTTTAAATTGCAGACATTGAAAGTAAACAGACTTTTGCTGAGCATGACCCACACACAATTCACAAACAGGCATGACAAGTTCTTTATTTAATGTATTTTAGTTACTGAGCAAAACAAGGAAAATACGCAACCAAAGTATTCTTAGCATCCACGACTCGAAAAGGTTGAATGAAACACCTGTTACCTTATGTTCTTTACTAATGAAATTTTTTTTCTGATCAAAAGAAAACAATGAAAAATATACTTTTCCTATAAAATTCACAACTCAGAAAAAACACATGCAATTCTGGCCTGACCATCAGAAGATAAAGAACTTGCAAGAAAATTGGCAAATTGGATGAGAAATATGAAAACTTTGGCTCTTTACTGTTTGTTGGAAAGTATCCTGGAAAAAGTCTGTCATACCCT